CAAATGCATGTTTGGTACACTGGACTCAACAATATTAAATAAAAAAATAATTATAATCTCTATTTATGGTAATGTCCATACCTTCCAGTACCACTTACATGCTTTAAGTATATGACTATGTAACCATCCTACCAAATACTGACAATGCAAATGGGATTCAACACTTCCTCTAGGGACAAGCTCATATCGAGTTGAAAATGGTACATATCGAGCACTACACCAAATACACACGAAAAATTAATTAGCCCTTGTTTGGTTTGAATTAAAATATCAAGTCAAAGTCAACAATTAATTTTAACCACACGTTTCATGGGATCCGCAACTTTTCAACCACAAATTTCACCAACTTCTATCAAAATCTACTAAAAATTTGATTTTAATCTCTACCAAACATACGCTTAATGTCTCATTGACTTGTTGGCGATATTTTGTCTTTCTTTTGAAGGCCGTGTGATAAATTGGGATAAAACAGTCATTTAAAATCTAAGAAATCATGTATAGGGCTTGTTTGGTACAGATTTTCGTTTTCTACAGTAAATCAATTCTCATTTTCAACCACACATTCTTCAATAAAATAATATTTTACATCACATCAATACTTTTTCCTTCTTTTTCAACCGCACATTTCCTATCATATCACTATTCAAAAATCAATTCTTCCCCCAAAAATCCCTACCAAACACACTCATAATTAGTGGAGCTACCCGTGATTCAAAATTTAAAATAAGGGAGATTTGTATAATTTCGGGAAAGTCTCTGTAATTGCCCTTATCATTTATATAAACATGTCATAGAATGAGGTATGCATTATTTAAATCTTAAAATAATAGAGGTTTGTGTAATTTTTAAAAATAGAAGGGGCTTCTCTTAAATTGTCATAAATTTCCGAAGAGATATACGTTATTCAAAACATAAAATAAGGTCAACAAATTTAATCCATACTTTTTAGAGATCACTATTTATTGAATTTTATGAAGTCTTTACTTGAGAAATGACTCATGCTACAAAAGGCACAAGGTGCTATTTCATTAAGGAAAGTTTCTCATATTACTCGTGCTTTTTCATGGTGGTTGAATATGCTAATGTTTAGTAACTTTAGACGAGTAACGTAATGTATGACGACAGACAATAGTGTAGAGTGGTTTTAAATGAGTAACATAATGTGTTACTCATGTTTTGTGGTCTTAGTGTCGACACATATGTTACCCTAACATATAATTCGTAAAAAAAATTTGATTTTTAGTGAAAATTAAATATTATTTTTAAATAAATAGGTATATTTATAAAATTTATAAAAGGAGGTAATTGTAAAATATAAATTTGTAATGAGAAAAGGTATTTTTTGGACAGAAGTAGGATATTTTGACATTCTCCTTACCAATTTTTCCCTCTATATATTTCATGATCAGTTGTTGCCTGTTGCCCACAAAAGAGTGAAAATAACAGTGTTAAAGATCATCCAAGGCCCAACTTAAATATCGGCCCAGTTATGGATCCAATGAACCATAATTTGATGATGGAAGTATGGAACCCATTTTATCTGGGGCAAATTGGGTTCAATACCCTAAAAAATTAGGGAAGAGTTCACAACTCATGTATTAGCTTTGACAATTGCAAAAATCAGGCGTTAAATTTCAAACTTGAAAAAATCAGGTATTTATTAATTAAGTAAATATTTAATTGTAATATAATATAATTAACACACCCCACCACCACCTATACTGCTCCGTGCTTAATTCCGTCGACTATTCCGATGACCGTTCTGCCATCGTTTAATTTTGACAACTGCTCCGATTCCGACAAATTTTTAAGGTCACAATTATATGCAATTTGGTCACATATATCTAATTAATTAGTTAAAAATTAATTTTCGTTCACAACTTATCAAATTATTGGTCACAAATATTTTCTTGATCATAAATCAAAAAATTTATAAGTCATACACTGTTTTTCGATCACGAATCAAAATTTTATAGTCACATATTATTCATCGGTTACGAATCGAAAATTTTATAGGTAACCACTCATTTATTCATTACAAATTCTAGATCACAATTTATCAAATTATTGGTCACAACTTCTTTTTTGGTCACAAATCAAGAATTTTGTAGCCACAGGTTATTTCTCACCACTAATTAAATTTTTTTATAGGTCACAGGTTGAAAAAATCAAAACTTTTGTTGGTCACAACTCGATTACAGTGAGTCACAGTCACAATTTTTAGATCACACATTATTTATTTGTCAAAAGTTAACCAATTACAGTCAACTAAATAATTGGTTACAGACACCCACCCCATCTCATCTCATCTCATCTCATCTCATCCCACCCACGACCACCCCCACCGCCACCACCATCGCCATATCCACAACACTACACACAGCACACAACAAAAATCACAGTATCAAAATAACCACCACCACCAATACTCACAGTCACCTGCACAAAATAATCATAGTCACCTCCAACCTCATCTCGCCGGCACACTCGACACCCACCACCACACAGCAAAACCCGACACCCCACTACCGTACGCATGTACAAAATAACCACGACCACCAATAATCACAATCACCAATAACCACGTACAAAATAATCACAGTCTCCTCCAACTTCATCTCCCCGGAACACGCAGCACCCACCGCAGCACGCAACACCCAACAACCTCACGGTAAATCCACCACCGCATCCTCCCAACACCACAACCTCACGGCAAATCCAACACCGTAACCACTGTCAACCATACGCACAACAAAACCCCGACACCCACCGCCGTACGCACGCACGCACAAAATAACCACCATCGTATCACCATCGCACCAGAAATATTGGTCTGCACCTAGATCACAGTCCCCATCCACCAAATAAAAAAAATGGGGAAGAGGAGGGGAGATGCGAGAGAGAGGATTCACCATCGGCTGCAGCGGCGTTGAGCGACGCCGATCTCAGAGTGCCACCAGTCATTTTGGATTACCGACATCGAAGGTCATGGGAGTCGATGCTACCGTGTTGGAGTTGAGGCATCGGAAGCGACTGTAGGGTTCACCATCAGCTGCTTAAAGCAACGTCGATCTCGAAGTGCCACTTGTTGTTAGGTGTCGTGAGTGGCCGCTGTGATGAGTTTAACGGAGAGGAAAATTATGTGGAAGAGGAGGGGAGGCGCGAAAGCCGAAAGATAGGGGAAGGGAGTAGATAGAGAAATTGGGTTATCAATTAGGGTTTTTATATAATACCTGATTTTTGAATAAATAAAGTTTAGACCTAATTTTTAAAAATCAATCTTTAAACACCTGAATTTATTTTATGTAATTACCACAAAAAATTATTTAATTTGATTACTATACCCTACTAACTAATTTATTTATTTAAGAACATAATTAATACATTATTATAAAACACCAACAACCCCCACAAACCCCTGAATACACACACACAGAGATGAATATATAGCCAATTCATAGCTACCTTTTTTATTTCTTAGTGGAATCAAAATTTTCAGATAAACTAGGGAGAAAGGGGGGCCTTAGTTCTTGCCTTTTCTTCTTCTTGCAATTCCTTATGGTTCTATAGATTTTTTTTCCTTCTGTTTGTAGAATTGTTTTTCTTCTAGTATTGAATATTGATGTGTAAACAGAATTCTGTAAGAAGCTCATGAGGTATTTCCATCGAGAAAAGATTTTTTGCACAGTTAAAATAACAGATTTTGAAGTATATAAAACTCAGATAAGGAGCTGAAATCTAATAAAGTATATTCAACTTCATAATTGATACAAGTGAGGTGAAATATATATACAGCAGATTGAGTG